TAATAGGATAATAACATGATACATGGGTCGAGAGAAAAAGGAGACATAGAGACTACGTACATACATACAACATGATGTACATACGTAGTCAATTGATTGATTATCGTTGTTTCAATAAAATACCTAGACAGATGAATAATAATTCTTTTTTTATTGTGTATCTTTTTTTTTTTTCTTCGTTTCTTCCACCCAGGTCTTTGGTACACCCCCGGAGGACCACCCTTGTCAAAAAATACATGCCTGTCGACTGCAACGCTCTTTTTTTCTCTTTTTTCCTTTCTTCATCTTGGGGAAGCCGGGCGTGGATCAGGCTTAGATGGTCGATGATGTAGTTATGGGACCACCACATCTGCCACCTGGCTAAGTAACCCACCTTGGTTTAACCCTGGCCGCCTTGTCCTGGGTGGCCCTGTCATTGCCCTGTCGGTGCCCTGCCCTGGGATTTTAGCAGCCTAGCTGTAGCGGTCCTAACTTCCAGCTGGACTTCATTATTGTTACCCCTTATGGCATAGCGAATAGATCAATTTTTCTTCGGACCACTTAGCCTTAGATATGATACGTGGAGAAGTTACCGACAGCTAAAGCATTTCGTCAATTAATTTTTTTCTTCTCTTGCTCGCAAAGGGAAACTCCTTTTCCGGGTTTCCACTGACGACGATAGCAAAATATTGGCATTGGCACTGACATTGGAACTGGCATTAGTTACCTTCACCTACATTGTATCTTACATGCTGCCGACACTTTTTATTGTACATATGCCGAATCCCATGACCATATGAACGAATCCACATTCGAGATGTTTGTTTCAGTTTCGAAAATCAGCCGTGGAAATGCTCATCACAATAGGGTTACAACCATTCCCTCACGAAGCATCATCATCATCCTTTTTCATGCCTCATTGATATCACAACCTAAAGAAGTAGGTAATGTACCTAACATACCTAACCTACCACGAACACACGTTCGAACTCCACACATACAATACCAGAACCAATGCCTATACGCAGGTGAGGTATCCATACCTATACCACATGTAGATGTAAGTAATGTACATAATGGATGCGAATAGAAAGTTCGTTGGGGACGGTTCTCGAGGTCTGTCTCAGACATACAGATATCACTTAAGCTTTGACTGCCTCTTACATCCATGGATGGGTGGATGGATGTACCCAGTTAGGCAAGGCACTGAACTCGAGGGCCGAATCTTGTTGGCTCGAACCCCGTCATTGTTCCTCGTCCTCTTTTATTTTTTTAGTTTTTAGTCAATGGGGGTTTGATTTGGTTGACAAAGAGCCCAGCAAATATGCTTGGCTTCTCGTTCAAGGCAAAGCGAGCCGCGGGAGGCCACCTGACTCCATTCTTATCCAATTCGCAAGTACTTACATATCCCATACCTCATACATGTCATAGGTAGCGCAAGCTCGTCACGCAATGGGCGGCTTTCTTTCCCCTGAAAGCCTTAATAAGAAATTCATAACGTGCTTGTGTGATTGTGTCATTCCCATTTTCCAATCCCCGTTCATGCTGTACCTGAGTAGATCCTCTGCTGCAGCACGCCCGAGATATCAATTCTGCTATGTAATATGTTGAAATGTGTATGTATGTACGGAGTGACTCACAGGAATACCAAGAAGCAAAAAAATCAAAAATAATAGGAGACCTGGATACGGTACAATATGCATGTAGGTGTAGGTGTGTACGTTCCAAGTATGGATGTACTTATCAATCTCTCACCCCCCATTAATAGATTTATAGGTACATGGATGTTCGGTACGTATTTCACCTATATCTCTGGTATTGTCGGTACTGTACCTTTAGTATCGAAAGAATCCACTAAAAAATAAAACAGAATAAGACAAAAATACAAATAATCATAACCATAACCATAACCGTAATCAATTAGCCTTGGTCTCCACAATACTCGTCGTGGTAGTCGACAAGCCGAACTTCTTTCCCAAGCCAGCAACCAAAAAAGACAGGGTCCCCGTCAGTGTGCTACCAGCTGCGATTCGAACATTGAATTGAACTGTGGACACGGGTACAACACACACACCCATACCCCCCATACCCCCCCATACCTCCATACCTACATAGGTACGCATGCACGTCCAAATTCAGTGGAAAACTGCCAACCAACAGAATGGCCTAGTATCTTACTGTACCAGACCCAGAATTACGATACAATGAAGCCAACCTACACAATCCCCATCCCTTTAGGGGAAACTGAAGAGGGAAACCAGGTAGGTTAGGTTAGGTTAGGTTCTGATTTCTGATGTGGGAGAAGGCCTATTACAATTAGCCCCCCTTCCCGAAGAGGCTACCTATTAGTAGCTTAGGCTAGGTACATGCGTCCTTGTAACATTGAACTCCATCCACCGTTGAAGTTACCTAGATGCACGTACATCCACTACACATTTTTGATGTATACCTGTATACCTCCATGCCATGGATGTCCATCAATCCAGTCTGCACTAAACCATAAACCACAAACCACACTACCACAAATGTACATACGTAGAGGAACATCTCTACTTCGTACATCAATCTCATTTTGACGCTAAACCACTAGACACTAGGGGGTAAAAAGTGCCTAAGTGTCTACCTTCTAATGAGGTACATGGAATGGAATGAAAAAAAAAAAAAAAAGGGTACGTACCATTATTATTTTAGGGGACCGCCTACCTAAGAGGTGTAAGTGAATTCTTTTCCTTTTCCTGACTCCTTCCCTGCTTGCCATGCCATAATCCCTTCCCTTTCCCGCTCCGTCACTTAATAATTTCCCGACCCCATTTCCTCCACCTGAAGAAGAGCAAGCAGCGCTGTACACCTCATCAAAAATATTCGTGCAAAACTTTGGTATTATTATTCTTATTATTATTACTACCTACTATTATTTAGTCTATTATATATCTATTTCGATTATTATTTTTTTATTTTTTATTTTCTTTTCTGGATCCCGACCTTGAAACATTTGAAAAGCCACCCCCGTCCGGCCAGCAGTTCAATTCGCCTTAACAGACCAGACACGCCTTGTCTGCGCAGTTACTCACATATCATTCATACATCCATAGATCCATACCATACCTAACCAGACTTACCGGACCTACCTACTACGTATACGCATACATATTACCACTACGTACACTACAAAATTTGTTGTTTTGTAGTTCTGTACATTCCATTCACGTCGCACAGGAAAACGCAGTCAGTCTCTTCGCTGTACCGTAACAACTCACATTCTACCGGTCGTTCTCTTCTTTTTTTTTGTGCTGTTATTAGCTGCTGAGCCTCAGCTGGACGTCATCACGCACACTTTCGCCAATACTGTTGTACGACTAGCCCAAGGAAGGAGAAAAAAAATTACTAAGAAAACACGAAGAGGGAGTCATCACAACACACCGCAAGGGGATCGGGATCCACACTCTTCACTCATAAGGAGCCCAGCCCAAGAAGCAGCGCATCGTCTTTTTTTTAAATTGTTCTGGACGTACCCGCCGCCTATCTTAGGTACCATACCCAGGTATAGCTAGCCTAAAAGTTGGATTTCACACAAAGTCACCGGAGTCAAAAAGACTGTTTTTGTTTCTAACTCTTTCGTTCGAGATATATGAAAGTACATACCCTCGAGTACTTGGGTATATATATATCTCTACCAATTTCCCCTTCCCCGGGCCAATTGCAAAGGGGACACCAGAGAAATACTTAAGAAACACAACGCAGACGTCGAAAAGTGAACTTACAAGGGGGGTTCCCGCAGAGCAATATCAAATCCTCCTCTCCTCTCTTGGAGGACTACTATCTTACTTCAAATCTGACGCCTGGGAAAAGCCCATCTCCCCCAACTTAGAAATACCCAAATCAGCGACCTGCATGCGGCCTGCCACCTCACCATTTTTACCGTGAGCTATTGCAACATCAGTCCCCCATACCCGCCCTGTTTAGGTCCTGGTCTACCACCTAGGGCGACGCAGACGCAAGACGCACACGCGCCGAGGGCAGCTGGTTGTGGCCGTACCTCGACGTACCCGTGTCAGAGGCCCGTACCAGTGACAGGCTTGTACTTTATTATACCACTACTATTACTTCTATTACCACTCGGGCGCACCCTTGCGTTCCGGTCCGCAATCGACATATACATACATCGTGGGAAGGCGCCGAGTATCCTGCAGCCTTGAACTTGGCCTTGACCTTTTTTTTCTAATAAGGAGCCTTCCCCTGTGTGTACATCAACCACACGATTTACAAGGTCCATACATACATACATACATACATACATACATACACATACTACTACGTATATACGTACATACGTACACTTACTCGTCTACAATACCTGCTACTTACTACATACATACTACATATCTACTTCTGTCTTTTTTCACCTACGCTCACTCCCCCCAAAATCCCCTGTCCCTGGGAGGTGCCTCTATGAAAGACATATCCGGAAAAATGAGGCCCACAAGTTCAGCCCTCATATAGACGCTGTCTCATATTATTTTGTACTACGACGTACTAACACTAGCAACCATTCTCGCGTGGGCAACGCTTCGCCCCCCTCGAATACATATATCATGACATCTACCCCCAACAACAATAATCCTTCCCGTCCCAGCATCGACTCCCGGGTTTCTTCTTCCAGTACGCCGATCATGGCCGCTCAAGGTAGCCTGTTAAGGCGGCCACGCCCGAGTCAAGTCCAAACTTCACACCAAGCCAGCACGCAACCCAATTCCGTGCCTACCTCGGCCATCAGTGCCTCTACGGCAGCATCCAGCTCTTCTCAGCATGGATCGCCTATCATGTCTCCCGACCATGTGGTGTTGACAAACACCAACAGCTCCATCCAACCGTCGCCTGACACCTACCGCAGCAGCCAAGGCTTTGACGCCGAATCTTTCCCTGCTCCTCCGCCCTTCCAACTTGGCGACCCTCTCCTCGCTTACAAGTCTAGCAGCAACAACTCGGTTAACCCCAGCATTGCAGCGACGACTGGTGGTTCAATGGCAGAGGCATTGAGCAGTAGCCACTCTTCGGGTGGTAAGGGCTTGATAAGACGGCTTTCCAACCGTGCCTCCAAGTTTGCTAGCAGGACTCGGCGGCAGTCGGCAGCAACACCTATGAACCGGGAGGGGAGCGTAGGTCCGGGCGTTATCAGACGAAGAAGTGATAGCACGAACACAGCACCCGCCGCGGATAATGTTCTGCTAACGGATTCCGACGAGGAATACCATGATGAGTTCTACGAGCACAATTCTATATTCGGCGCTGAGAGCATGGCACGAGACTTTTCTTCAGGTAGCGGTGCCCCGTCATTATCGGGATCTATATCGATTGCGGACGTGCCTACCGGCCCAGTTATCCCTATGGCTCTAGTCAAGGGAACCCATCTACTTAAGGTATCCAAGAAGAACAAGGTTAAGCGCTTGCTCTTCGTACTCCAAGCAGACGCCGGCAAGGTTACTTGGTGGAAGGGCCGTTCTACTAAGTCCATCTATATCGACAATATTAAGGAAGTTAGGATAGGATCCGACATCCGCCAGTATCGCATCGACTATGGTGTTCCCGAGAACGACGAGGGGCGCTTCTTCACCATCTTCTACACCGTTGCTGACAAGTCCAGGAGCAAGACAATGCACTTAATTGCGGAGGATGAGGAAACATTCGCACACTGGGTCAATGCTTTAGATTCTATAGCGAAGCATCGGGAGGTGCACATGGCCTCACTAATGGCGTTCAACGACAGTGCTATCCGAGCGTATTGGAACGGCGAGATGACGAAACAGTTCGAAAACAGGGAACACTCCCCCTCCCAGGAAGAAATGGATTTCCCCGGCGTTGAACGAGTTTGCCGCAACCTTCACATTCACATGGCTCGGAGCGAGCTACTGGCCAAATTCGCTATTGCCGACACTACCAGGTCTGGTCGGCTAAATTTCTCTGAATTCAAACTCTTCGTTCGCGAGATGAAAAGGAGGGAAGACATTCGTCTTCTATACATCAGACTCGCCTCGAATTCGGAGAGGGGTATCACTCTGTCAGAATTCATGCAGTTCCTGCGAGACGAACAAGGCGAAGATGTTGATAACAACCCCAGCCAGTGGGAAGCAAAATTCATTCGTTACGCTATTCGTGGCAGTAAACACAGAACAGACTTTGGTTTATTGCAACGCTTGGACAAGGACTCGATTGCTATGAGCGAACAAGGGCTTGTAGCTTATCTTACATCGAAAGATAACTTCCCACTTGTGCGCGCACCGACTGAGTACACACTTGACCGACCCGTCAACGAATATTTCATATCCAGTTCGCATAACACCTACCTAGTCGGTCGTCAAGTCGCAGATATTGCCTCTATTGAGGGCTACATTTCAACCCTTGTCCGAGGCTGTCGTAGTGTGGAAATTGACTGCTGGGATGGTTCTGACAACGAGCCCGTCGTTAAGCACGGCTATGCGATGACCAACGCCATCTCCTTCCGCGAGGTAATCAATACTATCAACAAATACGCCTTTGTCGCAAGTCCTTACCCCCTATGGGTTTCGCTCGAGGTTCACTGCAACGCCCCGCAACAGGAAGTCATGGCCAGCATCATGAAAGAAATCTTCGGAAGCCGTCTGGTCACTGAGTCACTCGACCCGTCCGCGACTAAACTCCCAAGCCCCACAGATTTGAAGAATCGAATTTTAATCAAGGTGAAAGGGACGCATCAAAATCCTGAGCCCCAACGCAACCCCAGTGAGCATGCGACAGGTCGTCGACGTGGCAACAGCCTGACTTCCCCTTTCTCAAAGCCCGTAGCCAACGACAGTGTACCCATTCCCAATCAGTTCTTGTCAAGCCCACTACTTGGTCCTGCCGCCCAAACTGCTCGACGCAACGCCGCACCAAAGCGTGTAGACACTATCAACGAAGGTGAGGTGCACGACACTGTTAGTAGCAGCACGAGTGAATGTGATAGCGAGGAGGAGAAGCGAGGAAAGCGTAGGACCAGCAAGATTGTTAAGAACTTGGGCGAACTCGGTGTCTATTGCAGTGGAGTCAAATTCCACGGCTTCGAATCAGCGGACTGCAAGAAGAGCAACCATATCCTGTCCTTTATGGAAGGTACATTCAGGAAGCACTCCAAAGCACCGGACTCGAAGTTGGCCTTGGCCCGTCACAACATGCGTTACATGATGCGCGTTTATCCTCAATACTCTCGCCTCGCTTCGGACAACTTCAACCCTCTGATGTATTGGCGAAGGGGTGTACAGATGGCTGCGCTCAACTGGCAGACTTTTGACCTTGGTATGCAATTGAACCAAGCCATGTTCGATGGAAACACCGATGTATCCGGATATGTCCTTAAGCCCGAATCGATGCGCGAGATACGCATTCTTCACGACGGCCTACCTGTGGAAGCTATTGGTAAATTGGAACGCCAGAACATGTCATTTGACATCAACATCATTTCGGCGCAGCAACTTATCCGTCCGTCGTCCTTGCCTTCCAGTCGCACTCTTGACCCGTACGTAGAGGTCGAGATCTTCCACACGAACGACAAGCGCGATAAGCACGACAGCATGGCCGGAATCCCCGTCCTTACGGATACTCCACTTAAGACATCCACGTCAGTCGTCAGGGAGAACGGCTTCAACCCAGTCTTTAACCACAAGGCTCACTTCAACGTCACGACTAAACACCCCGAATTAGTCTTCGTCAGGTTCAGCATCAAACTTTCTAATGATGGCGAGAATTCTTCTGGGCGAAACGCTACGATTGCGACTTACATGGCCAAGCTTAGCGCCCTAAAGCAAGGCTATCGAACCTTGCCATTGCTGGATTCCAATGGCGACCAGTATCTTTTCTCGACTCTATTTTGTCACATCAAAGTCGACCCTACGACCAGCGTTTACGTGCCTAAGCCACTCCAGACCAACGGCGGCGAGGCCGCTGTAAGCAGCAAAATCAAACACATTGGTCGGAATGTGTTCAATCGGTCCTCGGCCAATAGTACTAAGTCGAGCTTCGACAAGAGCAGCGTGGACGGCTCTGATACTTCACAACAGCCCTTATTTTGATTTCTATGCAAATCCTCACTCAAGTTTGGCCATATGTCGCCATGTATAAGTACATCTTTTATTTGAGTTACCAGTCGAGTCGCGATGATTTCCCACTTGGTTTGAATCTAGCGAATACCCCATCGGACCACATACCCTCAAAAGGGAGGCGGCGCAGCACGGCCAGAGCGATTTTTTTACGATTTGTATTGCATTTATTTATTTATTTTCGGAGGCGTTCAATCCCTGTCGTTTACTCGCAGTGCTCCCTCATAGCAGAGCTTTGGAAGCACAAAGGAAATAAGCGAGAAGCATATCAATGGTGTTGAAGGGGATTATCAAGATAGATCAGGGAAATGACCAAAAAAACCTTTTTGTTGTTTTACTTAGGTACGGTGGCATTCAGGGGTCTCAGGCGTTCATTGGCAAAGGGTCATGACGAATTTCCTAGTGATGAGGGCATCATTATCAAAGCATTTGGTTGGGGATCCATATTTGCATTCGCTTCTTACGAGCAGGACTTAAGGTGCAAGCTGAGGCGCAGGGTCGCGATTGACCAGCAGCACAAAAAGAAGGATCAGTTTCAGGCGGAAGATTCATATCTATCTCACTTGACTCGCAATGCACTCGGGGGTTAGTGGCGGGCGGTTCTGATACCTTGATCTGCATCAAGTTTTCACTTCAACACTCCATCCATTTCTCCCCAGCAGGTTCTTTTTTTAACTAGCATTGGCATGTCGGCTCGCATTTGCATGAACTCAGATATAAACAATACCTGTGGCTCGCGCTGCACACTATGTACTGAATCCACTGCGATTCCGCATTTACACAAAAACCCGCCCGCATTTGCCCGGGTGTGTCTTCTCTGCATCGTAATTTTTTGACCTTTATTTCCGTCCCCAACATTTGATAAGTGACAAGAATATCGCCGTGTCATTAATCAACTACATGGCGCTGACTCACTGCTGACTATAATGGACTAGAATCGATAGATCGTATAGAGCTGGCGCCGTGGCTGCTCATGTAATGCAGCCCTCGACAGCCAAAAAGCAATAACAATTCTTCCAGAATGGAGTCCTTCGTAAGCCATAAGCAGCCGCCTTCCGAAACGGTAGCCTAGTTAGGACTGATTCGGGGTTCGGGGATGATGCAACTACGGAGCACGGTTCTCAGACCTATTGCTCAGCCTCGAATTTGCCTTTTCGGGCGAACCTCACCCTCGGGACCCAGCAATATGTATGCAGCCCTTGGTCTGACATGCCTATAGCTAACTCAGGTTCACTTACACAATATGCACAGGTCTTGTCGATCGCGGACCAAACAGCTCTCAAAATGATATGATCTGACGTCCAGGTAGCCATATTTACCCACTGTACTACATAGGCAAGCCGCTCGTTCCTTGATATATTGTTATTATTATATTATCAATATGCACACGGCAGTTCTCCGTCTCCATCATGACAAGCAAGGTCATTGGATCCTCCTCTAGCTGCTTTCAGCGCAAATGCATGACGCGCGGGCGTTCGTTTCCCATCATGGCTGAGGCGCGAATTATTGTGCGTTATTACCGGGCGATTTCTCTTGAAACGGTAAGTCACCGTCAGCTCAGCCTTCCAGTTGCTGACGCCCATGGCCCTTAAATACAGCCCAGCTATCTCTGTACAGCGACTTGCCTTACTCACCGCCCCTGCGATTTAGGAGGATACGGACAATTAGAACTAGGAATATAAAGGCAGGTGTTTATATACCCGGTACTAACTTGTCATGACTACCCAGGTATCTACACACCTAGGTTAAAAGACACCCGGTGTGAATCGATTATCTACGTCGTATTATACTGCCTAACCCGGGAAAGACCAGGTATTTTAGATGGTAGCGAAAACAGTGCCGGGGGTGATAATGGAAATAAACAGCGTGGTTCAGCTCCAAGCACCTAGCATCGGAAGAATCTCAATCATTACCAATCCCATGCCCTTGGAAGCGAAGTAAGAGACCAGGGCAAGGGGAAAAGAAAGAACCATGCTTGGCTGCAACCAAACGCTTTGGTAACATCACGCATCAGTTACTTGCTGCTGCTACTACTGCTTGTTGTTGCTTGCTTCATGCAATGCAGAAAAGCTGCACTTCTATCACATTCCTTCTTACCCAAACGAGCCATACTCCCTTGCCTCATTGGGTCATTCAGAAGGGGACGCGGGCTGACGGGACGTGCTTCCCTGGAACCCATACCCCCCTTCACTGCCCCCCCCTTCTGGCCCCCCTCCCCCTCCCCCAGCTCGATGTATTCTTTGTGTTCCCCGATCCATCCCACTGGATAGGGCAATGGCAAGGCAGCAGATATTTCATGCGGTGCGTGATGACGAGCCGCTTACGAACTGCAGGCGACCAATCATTTTTGGTACCGGCCCCTGCAACATCCTCGCGAGCTACCGTACCATGCTGTCGGGTCCTGCATCCCGCTGATTTGCGGTTCCAATTTTTTAGGCCCTTCTTTTTTACTCTTTGTCTTGTTGCAAGTTCCTTTCCACCCCTCTCCGCTCCCACACCCCCTCCCTTCCTCATCCCCCGGTCCCCTAGTGTTGCGTGGGCGGCGCGGTGACGTGAGCCTTCGGACGCGGGGGTCAAAGAGGGAAAAAGCGAATGAACTCCCACGATGATATTACTACCTCTTCATTGGAAGGAAGAAGATGAGGGTGTGAATGGTTCACGCTAGGACGGTCGTATTGCATGGCATTGCGCATGGCTGGCTGGGTCACTGGGCTGGACTGGGCTGGCTGTCAGAAAGGAACCTGCAGGATCGATCATCCTCATCGTCAGCCGTAACGTACCTGGTTAGACACATATAGTCTAACTAGTGTGCGGCTTTTGATCCGCGCGGGATGACATTTTGCAGCTAGCTAGGTTCATAAATCCATACCTACATGTTATGTACGACATGACCCCAAGACGGAATATTGTTGTTGGTTTTGGAGTTACATTTTTTTCCCCTTCCCCCTGCTGCCTACCAGCCTGTTCCATGTTCCCTAAACCCCGTCCCGTTCCGTTTCACCTCGGCGATTTTGTCCTCTACTCATCGGTGCTAGGATCGATCCCAAATTCCCACCTATCCGCGTACCTAGGTTGGAGAGGATGTACAGGGCTATACCTACAGTACACATCCATATGCTGCACTCCGCGGTCATGTATACCTCCTTGGATCTGGTTGGTGCTTGCTTACCTTGCTTCGTACATTATTCCCTCGGAGGTTATGTACATAGGCGAGGCCTCGCTAGGAACTTTTGTGACGGTGAGAATTGCGAAAATGCAAATGCCGATAATCCACACACCCAGCACGATGGCGCTGGGACCGGATATGCGTATACCTATACGCAAGCCATGAAAGCCACGCTCCTCCAAAAAGGTAGGTACTTACTTGCCTACATGTGTACATACGAGTACATCGTTGGGTACTTACCAGCGCAGCACAGCTCATGCCTTGCGTACGTGCGGACATACGTACATACCACCGTCGTGGTCGTGGTTCGCTACCGACGGTAGCCATTCCACGTATTCGGGATTTGCCCAGTTTATGCAACTCCAAATGCCGTCAGTTAGTCAAGTCAACTCATCTCCAAAGTTTACCAAGTTTACCAACTTACATTTTACATGCACATTCCTTTTTTCCACATCCCCTTCCCCTAACTATCCAGATGTGGATCTTTGTTTCAAAATTTCCTAGTTACCCGGCCGGCCCGCAACTTTTCGTTAACGAACCCGAAAATTAGGTGCTTGGGGGAGTAAGCCTGGGCCACCTGCGCGCGTTTATCTACCTTTTTATTATATGATCATATTATACGGTACCTGGTTGGCAATGAGAGGAAAGAAGGTAGCGAATTTAGGTAGTTAGTAATTCTCCGGCGGCACAGGCGGCAGGGCAGCAGGGTAACAGGCACACATGGGTAATTACGTCGACAGTCCTAGAGACTGACTGAATGACTCAATCGGCAGCGCTATATGCGTAGGTACTGACTATAGGTACGTCAGTATTATGTACCACCCACACCACACCCACATCGCTTACTTAGGATTCACCCCATCATATCCAAATCTCGATGGTACCTCTCAGCATCAGCACCATTATCATCGATCCGAAGCGGCCGGGAGCAAGATTTGCATACGTAAACTAGAGCTAGGTAGGGTAGGGGCGATAGGAAGCGGGTTGGAAATGCCGCGGCCCATTCATCGCTTGCGGACATAACTCCGGGGTAGCAGGACATGGCCTAAAGCATGGTAGGTTTAATTCTACGAACCGAACCGAACCGCTGCCCCGAGCTTTGTGGCATGATCGTGGGATGATACTTTCAGGTACATGCTCTCAAATACTTTATAATAAGTGGTTTTTTATCTTAATACTTAATATTTAAACCCGAGGCTTGCGTTGAGAATAAGTTGGCACAGGGGTTCTGCCTACTCAGGAATTTCAAATATCCGACTACCCCTGCTCTCCCGCCCGGGGAACATGTCTAGGGATGTGGTTTTTGAGGCATTAAGATGAATATGCTTGAAACACTTTCACACTTCTAACTCGCGAGTTTTACTCCATTCATTAGGTATTTGGTAAACCCAGGTCTTGACTATTGGGTAATTGTTCTCGTGATGGAGGATGTCCCTTGTTACGAAGGATCGACCACCTGGGCAATGTTACCTACTGCCCGAGCTTCCCGCGGGGGAACTCTGTTTTTCTTTTTTTTCTCCAAATTATAATCCCCGCCGACGTCTTACGAATTTGTGTGCGCCTGGGATGACGATTTGTTCGGCCGGCTTGGGCGGATGGTTTAGGTCGCGACTTTTGGCGATGTCGAGCCGAGGCTAAGCTGAGACGAAGTGGTATCTCAAAGAAGCAGTTTGATGCGAGATAGCCTAATTGTAGAGCGGAATTGAGATTTGTTATATTATTGTATAGGTACTTGTCTTAGGTATTTGTTAAGTTGGTGTACGAGAAAGACGTTGAGGGTTTTGGTTATAGTGAATAGGGAGTTGTA